ACCGGATCCTGTTCACAGAGTACATGAGAGGGGATCTTCGGCTAGGTCTGGGAAGTGGAACAGAGTGATTCCGTCAACTACTCAGAGAGTTACTTGGCTCCAAAGACATGACACCTTTGGCAAGGGCCGTAAGTAACAGGACGATTTCGCATAAAGAGATGGTATCAAATGGTAAAGAATCTCTACTAGAGACTAATACATTTACATCCACCAGAAGAGTCTAGAACTCCAAAGAACACTACCAAAAAAGCCAATGAACCTCACGGAGTATTGCAACTGGGTTTCGGAACACGTCGTAATACTGGGGTAATCCTTAATACTACAATGGTTACTGAAACCCACTACCCAGAGAGCAACCAAAGGTTGCCGACCGAGGGATTAACTACCAGTCTGGTGGAATAGCTTCCTGCGAATTAATAGGGAGTTATCCAGAGAAAATTTATAGGTTGGGTATGGAGTTACAAAGGATCGGAGTCAGATGACCTACGATAGTTGTAATGAAGACCACCTTTGCAGATATAGCCATGGATAAAACTGATCATTTTATCAATAGCGAAGACAATTGGAGCCAACTCAGTTCAACATAAGGACTAGGCCATAAGTCTAAAGACTCTGCTAATCGGGATATTACTATTGGGGACAGCACGCTTCCTAAGAAGAAATATCGTAATTACCGAAGAGAGTGTGATGGTTTTCAGGGTCCACAGGTGTTCGCACCTTGGAAGAAAACTCGATGTTGCGAAATATGATTGAAGAAGTACATAGTTGTTTGATAAATACATGTAGTCTACAAACACTCAGATGCGGAATTTAAATATCGAAGTGCCTCCCAAGCTTTAGACATCATCAAGCAACGGAGAAGAGACCTTAATAATATAATATTGTTTTTATGATTCTACCCTACTTTACCTATTCTACTTCGCTCCTAGTAGTCCTAAACAAAACGAGCAAAGTCCGAGCCTTTCTAGACAATCTCCGTCTACAGAAATGAATCTCGATTGGCCTAGACAACTTTGAAGTCTATCAAGTTGTCTCTGCCTAACAAGAACATGTAATTGAAATAAGAAGAGAATAAGTATGAAGGTAGAAGTTAGAGTAAGAGATATACTAAAGAATCTAGAATTAATCAATATAACTCTAGCAACTTTAACTTTTACTTTCAATTATCTTCAAGTATGCCACAAGATATTACTCCTGGATTTACAGCTACCAGCCTTCCAAATACAAGTTTGATATTCCACTACCTACTGGCAGTCTTATCAGCAATGCAATCGGACTCTAGCAGTTTGAGTTTCTTACCACTACAATTGACTGTAAGTCATTCAGATTATGCTTTAGTAGAAGTAGAATTGAGTCTACTTTCAGTTTCTCTCTTTTCCGGCAAGAGGAATCTTCGTGAAAATCCTCTCTCTGAATTCGCTTCAAAGCCTGATACTTCTACATTTATTGAATTCAACTCTATTTCTAATTTCAATTTCAATTTATATTGAATTCTGATCCTGATCCTTGTTACTCTTCTACCTCATTGTCTTCAACTCTGGACTCTTTCTTTATTTCTTCCTCTGTTTCAACTTTAACTTTTACTACTACTCATTTAACTGAGCTCTTCTTGTCTTCTGGCTTTGCTGCTTCTTCTCAGTCTGCTCTTGCTGTTTCCTTTATCTCTTCAACTCAAACCTCTTCTGCTACCTCCATGACTATCCCTACTATGTCGTCCTCAGTTGTCTCTCTCACTACATTGCTGGCTTCTCTGTTATTTCTTCTATAGCTAGATCTAATGTCTTTACTGCCATCACAGTCTCTACCACTTCCACTGCTGCCAGCTCTACTACCTCCACTACTGCCGCTTCTTCCTCTGTTATAACCTCTACTGCTTTTGGTTTCTTTTCTTTCTCACTCTCTTCTGCCTTCTCTTTCTCAGTTACTGTAGCAGGTGATAACTTAGAGCCCATCTCTTTAGAGTATAGAGTGGGATACAGATTCTTGGTAACATCTGAAATTGCAGTATTTGTATAGAATCTTTAGCATATTACTAGCCGGCCTTAGAGAAAGATTACTATTACAGTTGGCCTTTCATTTAGTACTGTGTACTATACTGCATAGCACAATAAGATAAAAGATAAACAGTTCATGGCCAGTCTTAGATGCTCTGGACTGAACTCTATTAAGCTCTCACGAATATTATTACAAATTCAGCAGAAAACCAGTAGAAGCTACTTAAGAAAATCATATATATTGCTAGCATTCAGGAAAGTAGCAAAACTCTTCACCATTGAAGCTTAGGCAGCCCGTAGGACTATCACCGTGCGCAAG